ATCACACATTGATCCTTTTCCGGGGCAGAGTTGAAAACCGTCTCGGACGCTTGTACCCGGTTGATCGAGTCAATCTAAGCGATGCCCAGCGGTTTTTGATGGAAGTGGAATCGAGTCATTATGGATCGTGGAAGGACGTCGCTGTCAAAGGAAGCAACTCCTCTTCAAGGCTTCTTGACTCACTTGTTAGACTTTATTGAGACTGCTCGCTTTTTTAACCACTTAAGATCACGCCCGACATCTCCTTCAACAGTGTCGGATCGTCGTCAATGATCGTCGTTGTCGACGATGATTCCCCGGACACGCCGAACACAATCGGTTGTCCGAACTACAAGGGGAAGAACGATCTTCCCGTGGAAACATTCGCGCAAGCCCAAAGCTGGAGTGTGGAAAACGACTTCATTGGTACCAATTGAGAATTATTCAACTACATGGGAGACTGCTTGATGAAACCTCCATTCATGACTCGGGTAGATCAAATTCTGAGCGGTTCCGGGAGGGAAGAGCTGCAATCCGCTCATCGAGAGACTTCATCATCGAGAGGGCGCGAAGGCGTCGGTACGTTTCCGAGTTCTCGGAAATTGCGCGTTTACTCTCTATCATTCATCCCCGCTCCGTCGACCAGGCCCCATCCTGGGCACGGAGGAATTTATTTTTTCAAGCTCGTTCATCGCCTCTTCGGTCCATGAACTCGATCGGAAAAATCCTGAATTTTGATGTATGGCTCCATTCAGGAAACCTTCGCTTCCACCGAGGAATCTGACCCGGTATGCCAGCTTCCAGCCCCACTCTATGGCGGCTCCGACACGGGCCTCTCCGAGATTCAGGCAACACACCAATCTGCTCGTTCGTTCTAGGGTTTGAACGTGAGTTTCAATGAATCACACACATGTTCCTCTATATCCGATAATCCACCACGTGCTTCCCTCTCCCAAGAGTGCCGACCCCCCTCTCCATGTTAGCAGACGATCCTGGTCGGATAGGGAGCGAGAAGGTTTCAAATCCAGTCGGTGAACGTTTGACGTTGCCCTCTTGGAATTCCGGCCAGAGATCCGAAGGAAAGTCTCAGTTGCGGGCGTGACCATGGATTGGAGTGGAGCCCTTTGAATCGGTCCCGTGGGTGATGGAATCCTCGATCGTATCGTATTAGGACGGTCCGTCTCGACGAAAAGGAGCAATTGAGGGAAATCCGCGGAATCCTCGTTGTCGTGAAACCCCGGAAAGGTTTCCGGTAGACCAATGATATTCTGAATTAAAGCTTTCGGAGAGAGAAGTTTTTCTGAGCTCAAGAGATCGTTGGTACCTGATACGAATTGAACGATTCTGGCCGGAACCCGTGAATGAATAATGCGTTTTATGACGCCTTCCCGGGAATGACCACTATCTCCGGAACTTTCCCTCTCCAAAAAGAATGTCAAGTGTCAGTGACAAGCATCAGATCGTAGGTAATTTATGGAACGCCCGCCAACGGGATAGCTCAATATAAGAGAGACCGACTGAAGCGTCTTCTTGGAGTATCCTCAGGTTTCGCACCCATTCTCTCTATTACCTAACCGCGTAACTGATATAAGCGATCAGAAAACTAGCAATCATCTTGGAGAAAAACTTCAAGAGATGAGAGGATAAATTCCCGATCCGTTCCCAGCGTCGGATCTATTGTGTGACTTCCTTCTCTGGCACCGGACGGGCCTACGCGCGGCTTCTGTCAACATTCTTTCCTTTCGATGTCTAACCGGACCGATCAGTAGGCAGGTATGTTTTCATCCTTGGCGACAACGGGAAGCTCGCGTGCGTTGAAACGGGAAGCGTTTCTCGAGCGAACCTCTCGAGAAGTCCGTCCCGAAATTTCCAAATGAGACTGCTGGTACTTACGGCGATTACATACCAGAGGCTTCATTAGGCACTCGAAATGCCCATGAGATCGGCGCCAGGCTGAATGGGACGTGCATTAGCACGAAATACGGGGATTTCTGAGCAGCCTGCGCTTCAGGAGCATATAGGGCTCTTTATAACTCGTCCTCAGGATTCCTGTGAACAGGATCCGATAGCCTAGTTTGGAGAGGTCATGGACTCGATATCGCAATTTCTACGGAATGCAGCAAAGTCCGCTGATGCAGCTTCCGATGCCCAGCTCTTGTCATATCGGTGACCGACGTATCGAAATCTGCGATTCTCCCACGAGTTTCTCTTCGGAGAGGCGCGCGAAGCTCGACTCATCGTCTCGTTCAAATTGCATATCGCGACTCTTGAGCCCGGGGAGCGGGGAATTTAATCCAACTTCATTCTCGGATTTCATTGTTCCGAGAGCTTCAACTTTCTCCTTGACTCCTGGTGATAGCTCCGAAGTTCGGCCCGTCAGAACCACATGTTCGAAAACTTCGAAGAACCTTTTTTGATTAAAATTGGTATTATCACCTCCTACATTACGGTGCCTCTTGGAGTTTCTTCAAAGTTCCAAGTACCACCTATGAGGACCTCTCCATGGGCCCTGTGCTGGCGAGAATTTTTTCTCATGGACACCAATATAGGAGTTTCTTATCCGGGGTTAGATCTTGTCGATTCGGTCTTCGAAAGCGTTCAGGAGTAACTACGCGCTGAATCGTAGGTAGCCGCGAATGCATCCGCGAGATTAGCCAGATGGGGGGAGTGAGATGAACATCGCGAGGATTTCAATGGACATGGCGAACAAGCGAATCTCGCCCTCAAGAATCCATGATGGGCCTGACGCTAATTCCTCCCTCCGCATGTTTCCCTCCAGGATTTCCCATCGGAGAGAGAGCAAATCTCTGCTCCCCGTGGTCCGCATGCTGGGAGAAGACAAGATCTTCAGAAAACCAAGCGGGACTCTTCAACGATGAAGTCGTTCACCGAAGCATTAAAAAAGCATTAATTTGGTGTCATCTGAGGCGAATCACGGGCGTCGAAGCGATGTGATCCTAGGACTGTCTCGGCATTTCTTGTGCGCTGAAGTTTCGAGACCTATCAATACAGTGTCCTGGGGAGTGTCTCGTCCTTCTGAACGAATTTCCCATCAGGGGTCGAGAGGAAGCGGAATATAGGGAAAAATGATCGAATTTTATATATATTCATAATAGGTGGCAATATTTATTATCTGTACCATTATCATTACTGTTGTTGTTATTGTTTTGGATCAGACATTGTTTTGGATCAGACGTTGATTCGACTCGCGGATCCGCTTGCTTTCGGCGACGAGCTGCGCCCATCCCTTCCACAATCAATCAATCAAATTCATCTAACAGAATCATGTAGTACATCCATCTCGGCGTTCGGGTTATTTTCGTCTATCCGTGAGGAGAGTCTGAATAAAAACTAGAAATGCAAACTTGAAATTCACTGCCAGCTTAAGTTAGCGTCGGAAGTCCGCGCTCGGTGTCCTTCCTCCTTTCTTCATTCGAGTAGTCTAAATAGTGATGATAATTTAGGACTTTTTAAATAAAAGTAACTGTGGTTCGAAGTGTATAATCTTACGAAAGTTTGTAAATATATATCCATGTATGGGTAGATCGACTACAGCAGAACTATGTAATGAAAAATTAGATGGAAAAAGCAAAACATAGTCGACATTATGGCCTCCACCGGGATAATGACTGAGAAGCTCATAATCGATGATAAACTGACTTTCGACGTCATCGCAATGAAAACCTCTAAGACTCTTCGTCGCTACCGCTGTTATGTTGATGCTCATTTGTTGTTGCCGTCGAGTGGCTCCCTGCAGACCGCGTCGATAAATTTGCGATCATCGCTACATGGATCGGTTCATATATACTTATAGGTGTTCTCAGGGACTCTGGCACTTCGTTTCGCACTCATGTCGATCTTCAAACAGATTTTCTTTCCCCCAAATGACCCGAATCTATCGGCTCGAATTTTCTGTGAATATGCTTTGTTCCTTCCTTGATGCTTCAACTGCTGCCATGCATTCTCGGGTCTCATCTCCCAGTTGGGACTTGCTCTGGTCAGAGCCCTGCCTTCCTTTTCTTCGTCAAACGCAAATTCTCCGAGCAGTACGTTTCGTCTTTTCCGCTCTTCCGGTCTTCATTTTCAGCGAACTGCTCTCTGTACGCACGAATAATTGCACGTGTCTTCCTCAGACTTTTCTTCGAGGGATAGCTCTGTACACTGTCAATAACGTTATTCCTCTCGACCCTAGTGGCGGCACACACAAGACAGAGGGGCGACTCAAGGACCCTGATCTAAAACCCATTCATCCGTTCATTCATCATTCAATCAATTAATTCATTCGCTCGTCGTTTATGAACTGAGTCAATCAAGCGATCTTTCACGATAAGCCTCCTTGAGCTCCTGTCACTATGACCAACCAACGAACGACAGGACTACGCGTGTATTCGTAGAGGTTTTGTACACTACTCAGTCAAACAGAGAATCCATCAAAGGATCGACCGATTGATCGATCGATCAATCAAACAGCCGACCGATTGATGGGCCACCATCGACAAGCGACCAGCCCACGGACCGATACATCAACTAGTTGACGAATTGACTAATGCAGCGACCATACTTTGGCTGCGCGATTCCGAGTGGTTCGAAAACTCCGTGGTAGTAGACAATCGGTAGAAAAATTTGGCACCACTACCGCATAATGTACACCGGCTCGAAAACACGTCCGTTCGTATCTGTGGCGATCTTCACGTGCGAAGATGTCCACACGCCATGACACTAATAGGAAAATTCCTCGTCATAGGAGTTTGCTTTCGTAGGTAGTTGCCTCTTGTAGCTGGCTCCGAAGGTCGGCTCGCGTTGCTTCTGATGATTCTAGAATTCTGCATCCAATTTGTTTCTCCGTGACAGAGCTCGCAGACCCTTTGTTCCTCCTTTTTGTTCGTTATTTGGAGATTTGCGGGTGTTTTCATTTGATTTTGTGACAATTCCGCCGCTGAGTCCGATAACTTAATCCGCGAATTCTGTCCCGAGCTGATCTCGGATCCCTGGTGAGTGAGATGTTCGAAACGAGGATACGCCTAGGTCCCTCCTTGCTGTTGGATTTCGATCTTCTCCACCTGCAAGGGGAATGGTGAACAATGAATTCGGGATTCCCGGCAGAATTCGCAATCTGGAAAGGGGAACGGAATCACACCACGGAGGATCGATCCTTGCGGATCGATTTTGACGAAATTCTCTCTTGTCGTGGATAAACCTACCTTGAGATCGGGATTCATCATCGTGGCTTCTTGGATAGCTTCTGCGAGCGCTTTGTCGTGGTCTATCGGATCGCCGTCACTCTGAATGGTTATCTTCTGCTCTACCCGAGTCTCCACGACTCCATCTCTCTCCATCTTGTACGTGACCGTCTCCACCGTGCGAGTTTTTGACGAGATGGTCTGCTGCGAAATTATTTCGCCTTCCTGTTCGACGGAAATGTCGTGGGGCGGAACGTGTTGCGTCGTAACTTTCGTCGTTGAATACTGACCGCCGGACGGGAGTCCGTCTTCAGCGATGGGATCGACCGAGTACGCGACTTTCCGGGTCTCGGTCGATACTACTGGGACGGTTTTGGTCGAAGACGACGTCACATTCGACGCCATTCCGTTGTCGTACTTCATCGATTCGGTCTTCACTATCGTTTGCTGTGGGGGGAAAAATCCATGAGAGATCTGTCCGACGGTGAGCAGATGATTCAAGAGTCCTCCATCCAGAGCGAGAGGCTATTCGCTCTTGAACTCGATCGACGGATGCAAGGAGCGAAACAAAAATACTCACTGGCAGCTGGTCCACCGGAACGGCCATCACTCGACCAGTGGACGCGATGTGTTCCGTAACGAGGGTTTGCTGTTGCTGCTGAGTCGTGGTTGAGTATCTGGTGTACTCTCCGGTCTTGTCGTCATAAACCAAACCCCCGGCCGTCGTGGGGCTCGCGCCCGTTTCCATAGCCCCGCTCCCAGTGGATCTCTGAGGGCTGGTTTCCGTCTTTTCGAATCGACCGGACGATGTCGTCGACGTGTAATACTGAAAGACATCGAGCTTGAGTCTTCATCTCATCGGGAACGTTGACCTCGTCCAATCGTGGTCGGAGGGAATCGGCGCGGATCTCACCTGGGGATCCTTCTCGAAAGATGCGGATGGCGACTTCGGTGGTTGTTTCGACTGCCTGCCGAGTGACCCGAACGATGTATCCTTGACCGGGCTAGTCTCCTGACTTCTATCTCTCGAATCCTGGCGGTACTGAGGGTGGGGGTCGCGCGAGTGTTAGTGCAAACGCCGCTTTCATCCACAGCCAAGAGTATAGACTGACCGCCGTCACATCTCAGAACAACACTTCCACACACACATGACCTAGCCAAATACCAATCCCTACGCAGCCGCTCCTGGCAAACCTAGATATTCGAGCTCTATGTAAACCCTAGCGACGCGGCGATGAACTCGTTTTCCTCTATCTGCCAGCATATCCAGAATCCATGTTCGCAAACACAGCTGGCAACTAACGAATTCTAACAGTCTCATGTCATTCGCTTGCCCGGTATTTATACTTTGGGAGAAATTTATCCAATCCATCACACGATCTACGCCACCTCCAAAGACGAGAACTAGGATCTCGCGGCTCGGAAAAAAAATACAGCTATGAGGAAAGTCAGACTCTTAGTTCTCAAGACTCAAAGAAACTCGGTGCTCTCTAATCCGGGGAATATTCAAGCGGGGGATACGTTCTGTGATTGGGCATTCTCATAGCTACTGATAGCATGGCGGTCATGCAAGTCACCATCGATCACGCGAAAATCATCGCCATAATCATCATCATCATCATTCTATAGGTCACGCACGATCCATCGCCGATCAATGCTCGGGCAGCTCGGAATCGGGGCGTTCGCCGGAGCGCACTGAGAGAGGGAGAGGGGAAACGGGACAAAATCAAAACAAAAGAAGACAAAATAAAAACCTTAGTAAGATGCAGAGGGCTGGCGTATGCAGAACGGTGCGTGCTCG